AACACAAAAAGGTTCTGCAAAAAAAAAAAAAAAAAAAAAGAAAAACATGAATAAGCATTTGTAAACATTGACTGCTTATCAATTGAAAAAACACCACCACTCATGTAGTTGTTTAATTACAAAAAAATATTTTTTTTGTAAAATCATAGTTCAAGAGATATATAAACATTTCCACCAAAGAAGGAAATTATATGTTTGTGTTCAAAATATTATCCAGGCTCATCTCTCAGACAATGTAGATTGACTCTGTAGTCATAAGCAATTCATGTTTTCAGGGATACATTTCTATCTGAGGATGACAAACTGCAAACCCAGGACCCTGGTCTTCAGAAGCACTAGCCTCCCCATCTCCCACAGACAAAGGGCAGAAGGAGGCAGGCATTGCTTCTGAAAAACCAACTTAAAACAGGACCAGAAACAGAGACATCATTTACTGTAGTCTCAAATAACTCCGTGCCACTTTCCTATCTGATAATAATGATATTTACATAAGCAACCCTCCGCCCAAACACATAGACACTGGTTTCTGCAGAGTAAAGCACTTCAGAAATAAACTTTGGTTTACTTATGCAGTCACTGCAATTCCTCAGGGGTTTTTTTTGTATGCACAGAGAATTTCCTTCCGCCTAATCCTCCTCCATTCCTCAAACTAACCTTTTCACTCTGCCTGTGCAGATGGAGTGGGGGAGGAAGAAATTAGCTGTCAGACTTAAGTCAGACCAAATATTCTTCATGTTCTTGTGGTACTACACTTTAAAGTCCTTTCAATATCTACCAGAGAGATGGAAAGAGGGAATTTCAATAAAACACTAAAAAGCCAAGAAACCCCACAAAACCAATGCTTTAGCATTTTAACTTAACTTCTTTGGTTATAATTGTTATTTCTGGGGCAAAGTCTTGGATCGAATTGAGTCAATATTAAAATAACTAAGTCATTGCCCTAAACAAGATGCCTGTTTCACCGATGATCCTTTCTTAGGTAGGTTTCAGCCACAAGCTTGAAAGAAAAGTCTCTTTATAAAGAAAGAGGGTGTATAATGTAGTGAGAA